CAAGCAACTCCTGACTTCCAATCTCGTATTGACACATTATGATCCTTCGCTACCGATAGTCGTCACTTCAGATGCTTCTAACTATAGTGTGGGCGCAGTTACCTCTTACATTTTCCTGATGGGTCTGAAAAAGCTATCGCTGCCAGATCTTTGACAACGACCGAAAGGAACTATAGTCAGATTGAGAAAGAAGCCCTATCAATTATTTTTGCAGTGAAAAAGTTCCATAAGATGATATATGGTCGACATTTTACCCTAATAACAGACCATAAACCACTACTTGCAGTTTTTGGGTCAAAGAAAGGTATTCCTGTTCATACAGCTAACCGACTCCAACGATGGGCAACCACACTTCTGGGTTACGACTTCAAGATCAAGTATCAGTCTACTACCGCCTTCGGACAAGCTGACGCATTGTCAAGATTAATAGGCTCCCAATCAAAAACCCCAGAGGAGACTCTTGTAGCAAATATAAAAGCCGAGGAAGAAGTTCATCGTGTGTTGGATGACGCAATTAATGGACTCCCAATAACCTTTGAAACTATCAAGAAGATCACTGAAAGTGATAAGATACTGAGCACAGTTAAATGCTATCTCTCGAGCAAATGGCCAAACAATCGCCTTGACGGAGAACTTTTGCAATATTTTCGTCGACTAGACTCACTAATGGTTGTTGACTAGTGTATTATGTTCAGTGATCGAATTGTTATTCCGAAGTTATTAAGTCACAAGGTTCTCAAGCAGTTTCACAGTGGCCATCCTGGAATCAATAAATGAAATCGTTGACTCGTAGTTATACTTATTGGCCGTCAATGGACAAAGATATCGAGAATAAATGCCGTAACTGTTCATCATGCATTCAAGCCGCAGATTTTGCCGGTCCAATACAAGGAAAAACGTTTCTAATTATCGTAGATGCATTCACCAAATGGCCGGAAGTATATACCATGCCAAATTGTACAACATCAAAAACAATCCAAAAGTTGTCTACCCTATTTAGCTGTTTCGGAGTACCAGAGACCTTAGTAACGGATAACGGCTCGCAATTCGCCGCAGAATCGCTTAAGCATTTCTGTAGAGCAAACGGAGTAACTCATCTTCTTTCTCCACCCTATCATCCACAATCAAACGGACAAGCAGAACGCTTTGTGGACACCTTTAAACGAGCATTACTGAAAGGGGGAGGCGAAGGGACGACTGGGCTGGTGATCACAAAATTTTTAACATCCTACAGATCCACCCCGAACCCGAATGTTCCAGACGGCAAGTCCCCTGCGGAAGCCATGTTCGGAAGGCGTATTCGAACTGTCTTCAATGCCATGTTGCCATCCAAATTAGTGGATGAGCCCAGTCACAATCCAAGTATCCGGAACTTCAATGTTGGTGACAAAGTTTACATTAAATCCTACATCGGGAAGAACCGATGGGAGCTGGGAGAAGTTGTACAAAAATTGGGAAGAGTTCTGTACAGAGTTCAAGGAACTTTTGGGACATGTATACGACACACAAATCAAATCCACAAGGACGAAAGAACGAGGCAGACTCGAAGTGATCGGCCGATTTTCCCGTTAGATTTAATCTTAGATGCACCAATGCCACAAACGCCCAGGAACACTGAAAAGAAGCCTTGGACAAGGAGGACGACAAGAATAATGGGACGCCGTCGCAACCCAGTTGTCAAACTACAAGTTGACCCTAGAAAGAAATCTTATTCGAGGGAGGTGTTGAGTCGGCTTTCGGAGAACTATAACGGAGGCTCCAGAGGCCTAAAAGGAGCCGAAGAGTCCTAGCCAATCTCAGCACGATGGGGCATTCTAGAATTCCAACGTGGCGTGCTACTATTGGTCAGTAGCATAATATATCGCTAACGGATTGGCTGAATTATGATGTTGATTTAACAAACGTTAACATCTATAAATACCAATGTGTTTCTGTACAAGAATGAACCTTGGAGTAAAGTATTTTCTCTCATACTTGCGTCCTCTCTGGTGTTCAAGTCACTGTGTAGTTCTAGCCTGCGGGCTACCAGAATAGCTTAGGAAAACGAATATAGCGTTCAGTCGACAAGAATTATCAGTTAGGACATACATGTGAGAAATGATCAAACTGCATCACAATACAAGCCCTAACTTGGAATCCTGAAGGGAAGTGGAAAAGACGAAGGTGAAAGAACACACTTGACCGAGAATCGAATGCACATATAAAAAGGATGAATAGCAACTGGAAAGGATCGCCCAGGGCAGAGTTGGATGGAGAATACTGATAGACGGCCTATGTTCTACCACGAAGAGTAACAGGCGTAAATGTTGCACAGAACATCGAACGTCATCAGAAGGGTTAGCTATACATACTGTTCAATAAATCTTTTCTGCTGTTGTAGCAACTATTCTAATTTATTTAGATTAACAGTCAAGGTTAGAATTTAACACTGAATGTGACCTGTATGGATTAAATTTCATGAAATTTCTTCACCTCCCCTAACTTGACTTAGTATTATCGAGATAATTACTTCTTTCTTGTCTTATCGTCAACAATGGTTTCTCATTTGGCTCATTCTTGTGTAGTAGACTTTACTGTCAACAAATATACAGTAACTTATGTTATTATCAAAATCGGCAAAGCAAGAGCAGCATACTTACAACTGAATAACATCTGGAACTCAAAACAACTGTCAAACAACACCAAGGTCAGGATTTTCAATACAAATTTCAAGACAGTTCTACTGTATAGGGCGGAAACCTGCAGAACTACCAAAGTTATCATCCAGAAAATACAGATGTTTATTAACAGTTGTCTACGCAAAATACTTCAGATCCGTTGGACAAACACTATTAGTAACAACCAACTGTGGGAGAGAACAAACCAGATCTCAGCGAAGGAAGAATCGCTGGAAGTGGATAGGACACACATTGAGGAAATCACCCAACTGCGTCACAAGACAAGCCCTCACATGGGATCCTTAAGGCCAAAGGAGGAGAGGAAGATCAAAGAACAAATTACGCCGAGAAATGGAGACAGACATGAGAAAAATGTACAAGAATTGGATGGACCTAGAAAAGAAGGCTCAGGACAGAGTGGGTTGGAGAATGCTGATCGGTGGCCTATGCTTCATCGGGAGTAACAGGTGTATGTTATTATCAACCGTTTTTGAAACGTCACACAATTCCTCCACATTGTTGTGTTACATTACTATGTATTTACATGAATTCGTGACATTTAATTTACTTTAACTGTATCCTGCCAACATACTTAATAGTTTACCTTCACTTATTGTGAGTTCACTGAAAATTCTGTTTTCTTATCGTACCTTAAGTTTAAATTTTGATTACTAGTATAGGGATTGTGGAGATTATTAAGTTTTTTGATTGAGATCATGAACCGACTGATGTTAGACCATCACAGTTGAAAACCTGGAAGCACTGGACGGCCGTTTCGTCCTATTGTGGGACTCCTCAGCAGTGCGCATCCACGACCCCGCGAGCGGGATTCGAACCCAGGGCCTTCGGTCTCGCGCGCGAACGCTTAGCCAACTGGACCACTGAGCCGGCATCCAATGGTGACCAGTGGAGCTAATCCTTGTCGGGTAGAGACAGGTATCTACCTCAGTACAATGGAAGTTGGTCGCGCAATTTCGTGGATTGGTTGATGTTAGAAACTATCACCACTGGGTGCCGGCTCAGTGGTCCAGTTGGTTAAGCGTTCGCGCGCGAGACCGAAGGCCCTGGGTTCGGATTCCGCTCGCGGGGTCGTGGATGCGCACTGCTGAGGAGTCCCACAATAGGACGAAACGGCCGTCCAGTGCTTCCAGGTTTTCAATTGTGATGGTCTAACATCAATCGGTTCATGATCTCAATCAAAGAATTTGAATTTTGATTTTTTGTGCTATTTAAGACAAGTCGTTAAGGTGTGCCTGAAATCTTGAGGAAACTAATAGACCCTGACCAATTCATCTTCGTGTTACCTATAATCACAGTAAGAGATATTGGTACTGAGCTACTTTTCGGATAAGTGGATGGAAACAAATAAAAACATACAAAACACAAGTTCATCTTGATATGAAGTACATAGAATAACAACCACTAAGATTATTATTAAAATTTCTGGAACGATGAAAAAAACTCTCTTCACTATGATATACCTGACTGTTTTCATTCTGTGTCATGAAAATTCTACATAACATCTTTACATGGGCAGAGTTTTTTTCCCCACAAAATCAGGTAATCAACTCTTAGACGGAATAAATAGGGTGACTAAAAAGCTTTTAATTCGAATTATTTGTGAATATGAACCCCAACAAATTGGAAAAATAAAGAATGTTTATATCTACTTTGCCCACTGACTATTATTACAGGAACGAACCTTCAGCTAATTCATTATGGTTAAAAATTTGAAATGAATTATCTGGATGATATTCATCGAAAAAATTACTGAACAATTATTACTGTGTATACTGCACTTGGTTATCGATTTGTATTAGTGTATCAGTAATGGTGAGTAGACCAGGATCCGGACAGATACTTACTGAGTGTCACAATTTCCCCCCCCCTTCCAGCCAAACAGGTTGGTGAAGCCTAGTAGACCCATCTGGAGAGAAACAGGCCACGTTGAAGCACTGCACAACTACCGGGGCTAGAATAGCTGTTTCTGCAACCAGTTGGAGTTTTCCCCGTAAGGAGCAACCCCGTACATTACATGCACCACTTTAGTAAGTTTCTTGTCGTTTTCCCATCCAAGAGTCATTGTGCTGCTTTTCTTTGTGGAGTTCGTAATCGTTTGAGGGTTTCGATCGAGTGGGTGATTATCTCGATCTCTACCATTCGGGTTACCGCTCACGTTAGTTCATAGATCATCTGTCGCACTATTCAGGAGGCACGACGCGGACGTGTGAGTCGGATTTTGTCACAATGTCGCCAAAATAATATTGAGAACAAAATAGAAATAATTTCTAGTATCAAATCAATTTATTAAAACAAACTACAAACAACAGGGACAAGGTGACACGGAAAATATACATTGTATATATGAATGATGTTCTTTTTACAATTGAGAAAGACATATGTATGAATGATTTACCATCAGAAAGAGAATAATCCTTCCTCTTCATTGACTTCTTAAATCAATTCTTTCATAAAAAAGGGAAGATATGTAAAATAAGGTGAGAGAAAAAACAGAGGTTTGTCACTTATTAGTTTATAATAATCAGGATAATAAGCAAACTATTACTGTCATGTCCGTTTGCATTCAATGTAAATTCTCTTCTTTTCTGACTCTCGTATATACGGTATTATACTACATAATAACGTTCAGTAATCAGTTTCAATTCTAACTGTAGGGTGTACATCATGTTGTGTTTATCTGTTAATTATTAACAGGAGGCGACGTTCCACGGTATCCAGCGTTCAACAATAAGTGTATATGCCATTTGTTCCCTCAGGATCCTAGAGCCCATGTGCATCATTGGTGTGGATTCAGGGTTTCCCAACTCCCCTAGGTGGATATTCTGTACTCATCAACCCGGTTAAAGCGCCGTATATCCACCTTCTGTCCTCTCAATTTCGTAAACAATTCTGCCGCCGCCAGAAGGTAGTGATTAGGCCATGTGAGGGCATTCCGTGAGGGGAAGCGAACTTTCCCACATCCTCGGTCGTACTAGAGCATTTTGGGGTAATTAAAAACCACTAGATTTACCTGATAACAGTTTCAAGTGATTTGCATAGAAATTTCTAAAGGCCCATTCCTAAGTTTATACATTTTTTGAATTAACTCTGCCTTCCTAGACTAGCGAAATTTAAATACACATGTCATAATCATCTTTTTTTGTATATTACCCCAAACTACTTACTAATATAAGTAGGTCAAGTGATGTTCAAACTTTTCTAAAGATTGAATACAGTGAAATTTGCCAACCATAATCTCAGCGTTTTATTTCGCTCTTATTACTTGTAAACGATTTGTCTACATTAGTTACTAATATTATTTCATTGCATTTATGTGGTACGTATCCTGAATAATTTGCTTATTTTCATATTGAGTGCTATTAACAAAATATTCTGTGATATTATTCATACCCAACAGATTGGGATATGATTTCTCTTGAACTAAAAGGCATAAACTTTTGGCTTAGTTTTGATTATTAAATGCAAAAACACTCTATTTCTTTCAACTCTGACCAATCTAACCTCCCAATGAAGATTTATTTGGTAGAGAATAAAGCATACGGATCTAAGTAGGCGAAATACGTGCATGAGCACGTGTACAATGAACTCAGAAGTACATCAAGAACTTAGTACAGTAAAAGACATGGACCAATAAAAAAACAGCACCTTTAAACACGATTGACGGTTTCAAAGGAAAAAACATAGATTCAACTTCAAAAAAATAATGATTCAATAAGCGATTTCCTGGAGACTTCAAATCCTTTTCCTTTCAACAAATACTAACTCAAAGATAATTGTCGTCACAAACAAATGTCAGTTGAATAGCATCATTGGATATCATCAGCAAGGATTTGGGAATTACTTCGTTATAATCCGAGAGCCTTATTAAACAGCGAGCACTTATATGACAAGCCCGTAACAACATTTATGGATTATCGTTAGCATGATATTCGTCAACAACAGCTTCCTATATTAAAATTTCGACTTATTTAGTAGACTTGATTTAAGAATGATAAATAACAATTGAATAACTTGCTTGTCTTAGTCCCTTCAATAAGAGTCGATAATCAATTACTTCTTCTTTCTTCTAGTAATTGCTCCACCTTTACCGCTAGCAATCAATTTCGCCTCTTCAGCTGCTTCATATTCTTCAATTAATGCATCGCTAGTTGCTTGTCGAGTTGGACAATACCTTAGATACTCCATTGTAAATTCACCTTTACCCTCAGTAATACTGCGTAATTCACCGGAAAAGCCAAACATATCATTTAATGGTACCTATTAGAAACAGTGGAGAGGATGAATAATTGTTAGGTGTGAAAAGCTTAACGACCTGTTTAAAAATATTGCATAACAATTAGATTTCTATGTTACATTCTTTTTAAATACACATATACAAATCAGGTCGCATGTATTTAATGATGATATTTTCAGATCTGTGATATCCGAGTCATCCGAAAATCAAATATGTTATTATTATTATTATTAGTCAGTAATAATATAGATAATAGAATAGTAATGATCGTTATCGGACTATGTGATTACATGGTGGTGATAAGAGGATAGACAGTCAGTCAGTTACAATGTAGGACAAGGCACATACATGCATCAGGTCCAAGTTTAAATACCTCATTAGTACGGCAAGATGAACATCGGATTTATAGAAGCAGTTAATTCAATGGTGTAATATATAAAGGAAAGATTTTATATACGGATATAATACAGAAAGAAGGAATTAGTTTGTAGAAAGAAAGATATAAAATAATTTTAATCTTATAGTTTAAGAGAAGACAGAGAGTGTATACACCTACCTACTGTGATCGATTCTGAGCCATGTCACCAAGTCTCCAACTATTGGTTACGATAGTCACATGGACCCCAACCAAGTAGTCTGCATCTACCAACATGGCTCAGACTAGAAGTTAGTGACATTAAGCACTGATGCCACGTTTTGGTTTGGCCACCCCTAACTTTCTTCCAACCATCCCGAACACCGGTTAGCATTGCACGTCGTGGTAATCGGTGTTCAGATATATGCAACACGTGACCCAACAATCTCAGTCGGCGAAGATTCACAACCTCACCACTTGATTTACCATTATTCCCTAATACCATGCGTCTAACCCCACTATTACTTATCCGGTGATCCCAGCAGATGCGAGCAATATTTCTAAGGCATCTGTGGTCAAATACTAGTGACTTACGAGTATCTTCTACTCTTAATGGTCACGTTTCGCAGCCGTAAAGTAGAACAGAACGAACTACAGCGCAGTATACTCGTTCTTTAAATGATAGACGGATATCTCGCCTTCGTCATAGATGACGTAAGTTGGAAAAAGCCAAAGAAGCTTCTTAAATGCGTGCAGAGATTTCGTCAGACATCAACCTATTAAGGCTGATTAGACTTCCAAGATAAGTGAAGTTGTCGACGCGTTCGACTACTTTGCTCCCTACCCTATCCGTAATTTAGGTGTTGACGCAGGCCAGTCCTGAAGCAACAACTTGCATTTAGAGGGGAAGAAGCTCATCCCAACATCCTGGCATTGTTTCACAGTGCTATCAAAAGACTCTGCATTTTATCAGCGTCTTCACCATACATGACTATATCATCTGTGGGGATAGACAACACTTAAGGATTTGTCTTGCATAAATGGGTCGAGAACAATTCGGATGTTGATTTCGGTTGAATCATTCAAGGTGAACGAGTATTTAAGAAGTTAATAGAAGCTTTTTTTATGTAACTGTTAAGTAAAACCTTGAGTAATTTTGTTTTATACTTTTGTACAAATCAATAGGGCTTCTTTTTGTAGTATGCTTGATGCCATGATATTAAAATTGTTTATATTTTTCTATCAACTAATTCTTTCTTCCTGTATTATATCCTTATATGCAATTTTTCTTTTATATCTATTACTACCATTGAAGCAACTAGTTCTTTGAATTCGGTGTTCATCTTGTTGTGCTAATGAAGTATGACATCTTGGACCGATGCATATATGTGCCTGGTTCAACGTTGTAGCTGACTAACTGAGTATATTTGATGTTCACATTATTCTGTGTTTTCTTTCGATAGCAGTCGATCGTGTAAAGTATACTGGTACGAAGAGTATTACACATGGTAAATACAAGAAGTTTCCGAAGTTTCACACAACAAGAGGAAACAAATAATTTAATGATCATGATTGATTGAAAATATTCATATCGAATTTTAAGAAAAAAAAATATAGAACTCACTTCTGCATTAACCATAGCATAAGATTCACTAACTTCCGTACTGACAATAAGACCATTACGTCGTGTTACAGTGGCAATTAATACACCTTGAAATTCTGCTGGCGCAGATACTTCCACATACATAATTGGCTCTAATAATAACCAGGAACCTTCATCCATAGCTGAATAGATACATATTGATATAGAAGAAAAGAAAACATTCAATAGTTACTCATTTAGACGAAGAAAAGAGTCTTTTTTGTTTCAAGGATTTGCGTTAAACGCTTACAATCGTAATTAAGTAATAATCATTACTTACTTACTTACTTACTTACGCCTGTTACTCCCAATGGAGCATAGGCCGCTGACCAGCATTCTCCAACCCACTCTGTCCTGGGCCTTCTTTTCTAGTTCCATCCAATTGTTGTTCATTTTTCTCATGTATGTCTCCATTTCTCGACGTAATGTGTTCTTTGGTCTTCCTCTTTTCCTTTGACCTTCAGGATTCCATGTGAGGGCTTGTCTTGTGACGCAGTTGGGTGATTTCCTCGATGTGTGTCTTATGCACTTCCAGCGCTTCTTCCTGATTTCTTTCTCCGCTGAGATCTGGCTTGTTCTCTCCCACAGTACGTTGTTGCTAATAGTGTCCGGCCAACGGATCTGAAGTATTTTGCGTAGACAACTGTTAATAAACACTTGTATTTTCTGGATGATGTCTTTCGTAGTTCTCCAGGTTTGTGCCCCATACAGTAGAACTGTCTTAATATTTGTATGGAAAATCCTGACCTTGGTGTTGGTTGACAGTTGCTTTGAGTTCCAGATGTTCCTCAGTTGTAAATATGCTGCTCTTGCTTTGCCGATCCGCGCCTTCACGTCTGCATCAGATCCACTTTGTTCATCAATGATGCTGCCCAAATACGTAAAGGTTTTTACATCTTCCAAATCTTCTCCCTCAATTGTGATTGGATTGGTGCATTATGTGTTGTATCGGAGAATCCTGTATTTCCCTTTGTGTATATTGAGACCTACTGCTGCTGAGGCTGCAGCCTATTGTAGAATTGATCTTTAGCGTCTTCATTGTAGTCGTTGGTAGGCGCAAATAATAATCATTGGTAACTACGAAAAATTGACATGTCACACACAGTTGGTTCTCTTCACAATTTTAATAAGAGAAAGAATCATACTGATTATAGAATACAATTCTTTGAGAGACGATATATTGACTTTGAGAGTGTTCACTTAATAACCACGATCAAATGAGGGTTATAAACCAGTGTGAGTAATTAGAATTATGACTTATAGTTGATGGTTAAGGTTACGAAATAGATTTATGGTTTTCATCACGAACTGATATCATCTATGATGCCAAAACTCTATTTAGCCAAATGAATGAGTAAATTTGGCGCCAAAATCTAAGATCTGTTATCTTGTACCTGATTGGTTCGTCCATAAATTATAGTCTCGTAGGGAAAACAATAAAATACAATGAATTGAATGTATATCTACAATCAGTCAGTCAGCAACAACTTAAGAATATACAATACTTCCAGTTGCCATACCACATTAGCACACAGATACAATTGTCCATTCAAATCCCATAGTAGTAGAGGTAGTAAAAGTATAAGCAGTAGTCGGAAACATTAGGGTTTGAAGATGTTATTCAAGGAGTATAATTCAGTGAAATAAATTTGGAAAGAGAACAAGTAAAGGGACATGAAGAATTCAGAAGATTAGAATTTGGGAGAACACAAAGAGTAGATGCACCTGCTCCATTACAAACGATTTTGAGCCATGTCTACAATCAATGTTAGCGTTACCTTATTTAACATTTATTCTGTAAATTAATTGAACTAATTCAATTGAAGAAAAAAACATTTACCTTGTTTCATAGCACCTTCAGCTGCTTGTTGAAAAGCCCAATCACTACTATCTACACAATGATTATCTCCATCTTGTAAACGAAATCGTAAACCAGTAATTTTTTGTCCAGCTAACTGACCAACTTGACAAGAATTACGAAAACCAGTTTCAATAGCTGGAACATAATTTTTAGGTACATTTGTACCAACTGTTTCATCGGAAAAAATCAATTTTGTATAAGAATTAGGAGGTAAAGGTTCAAGTATACCAATTACTCGACCATATTGACCAGCACCACCAGATTGTCGTTTATGAAGATAATCAAATCTAGAATAAAGGTGAAAGAAAGAATAAGAAAATGGAAAAAAAAGTAACTATTGAACAGGTATGAGTAGAATTACTATTGGGTACTATTCTATACCATAGGTCTGATAATGTCTCAAAGACATTGAATGTACTATCGCTTTCTAGGACTCAAACAATAGAGTTCTGGCAGACTAACAGATATCGGTTTTATATAAACTGCTTTTATACCATAAAGATATGTAATAATCTGATCACTATTGTTATAATCTCTCGCTTCTTACGGTTAATGACCCAGCTATTCCTATTGCTTAGTATTCTCGGACACAGATTCACTCGACAAGTCCCCAAATCAGAACACGGTTGAACAGGAAAAAGATTATATTCCAAATAGCAAGTCAGAAGCCAGTAGGAAGCACAATAGGGGAAAACGTCGGTATATTTATAGTTTTTACATAAGAAGAATCCAGAATATTCTCCAACTATCGGCTAGCGCTGATTGGATAAGAATTAGCCAATCAGCGTGCACCAAAGCAATCATGCATTGAGCATGCTTTAGTCTAGTCTAGTCTATGTCCCGCTAACAACTATATTCTAGCTTTTTTTTACCCAGTCTCAGTGTGAACAAATAGTGAACGATGATGAAAAGGCAGAGATTTTATTCATAGTGGAAGTGCCAAACAGTAGCGAAATATGGTTAAATCAAGGTTAATGGATGTTTAAATCTCAGAAAATTTGTTTCTGTTGCCCAATAATTTGTTAATTATTCTTTCAAATTCTGATTTTTATATTTCTTATCATCAAAATCCCCATCCCTACTCACCTAGACAAGATGTTCGTGTTTTTAATGACTGACAACGATTTCGCCCTACTGGTTTGTGCTGGGAGGACTTTCGAGAGCTACGACAGAGCCTCCAGAGAACCTAGAGGAGCCGAAAAGTTCCATCCAATCGGAACGCAATGGAGCATTTTAGAAAATCAACTTGACATAATACTAATGGTCAGTGGCATAACATGCCTCTTTGCGGATTGGTTGAATTATAATGTTGATGTAACAAACGGTAATATCTATAAATACCCATGATTTTCTGTACATTTTGATTCTTGCCAACAAGCACTTTCTCCAGTCTTCTTATTTGCGACTCGAAAGGTCCTAAGCGTTCGATTGCTTAAGTTATATGCGGTATATTAAGAATATAAGCTCTAAATATAACAATTTGTCACTCTTTTGGTATACTAATTTGTGTCCTACATTGTGATCATATTTCAATGCAATTGCATTTCGTTAAGATAATACTTGTTTTAAGGTCTCCAGATAAATTTCTTGAGCAAGATTCTTTCTTACATTGACTGGAGCAAATAAGTCAATCAATCATAATAAATATACAGTCTTGATGGGGTTTTGTTCTCTGAGCTGGATGGTTTGGTCGTGGTACCTACCTGAAGTTTGTGCTGATGATATCGTTCAGAAGAACGATGAACGCTCCAGGACCAAACCATCCAGCTCAGAGAACAAAACTCCATCAAAATCATTCACCTGAGCTACAAATCATCTCCATCATCAAATATACAGTCTAGCACAATTATGCGTTGTTCAAACAAAACTAACAAGACGAAAAGTAAATGTTTATTGGTCACTACAAGATTGTCACCTTCAAATGAATTCAAATTAAATGAAAATAGATTTCTTGTTTACTATGGTTTCTACAGATGTTTTCTTCCTACTTTACTCATATTTCTCAATAAATCTCTTTTTTTTTATTTATCTAAACACATAAATATTGATACAAAGAGGCACCGAATACAAATGCGCCACATAAGTCACTTGATTTGTGAGTGGGCTGTGATACTATCCGGGTGCCCAAACCGAAGCAGGTGGTTTTCTTAGGGACCACACCCGGAGCTTTTGGCACAAAGGTCTGATCCACAAGACAGTGGAGCAACGTAAGGAGATGTGATCCCATGGTAGCCGATGACCAACAATTGGTTTATATGCTATTTGTTTCTTCAGTATCCTGAGGCCCATGTGGAGCATTGGTTTGGAATCAGGGTTTTCCAACTCCCCTGTGAGGTCAGACAAGGAAGACCGCATCAACCAAAACTTTTTAGGTCACTGATCAATGATTGAATGGACTGATGTCACACATTGGGTTTAACCTCTGTTATCTTCCTACCGACCTATTCCAACCAGCATTATATGTTGATACGCAACACATATATTTGATAAATGTGTCGATGAAGACTTACAGTCTTAACAACTGACTTGCCATCTTTGCCTACTACATCTACTATCTATGAAAAAGAAAGATGAAGAGAACAGTTGTTTTTATCCAGGGTCGAAAGGAAGTAATCTGTCAACATACAGCCAAACCACATTACTTTATGTTTGTCAATTTTTTCTCTACCATGTACTTCCATGAATGTACATTATATGCGAAGGTCATTACATAATAGGAAAATTTATTCACAATACTACTGCACTTATATGTACACGGGAAAGTCTAGTAACAGGAAAGTAATTAATTCTAATCAAAGTATGTAACAATGTCCTGAATATCAAATCATTATCACATTATGATTTTAGAAACAACAAAAACAAACTTACTCGAATGGTTCACTTAATGTTTCACGAAATGCAACACGAGGTTTACCTAATGTACATGGTGCATTATACTCTCGTGCTAAACGTTGAGCATAAATTTCCAAGTGTAATTCCCCCATACCAGACACTATTGATTCACCAGTATCAGAATCTTGTGAAAGAATAAACGTTGGGTCTTCACGTGTAAATCGTGCTAAACCCTTACTAAATGACTCAATAGTTGATTTATTAGTCGGTTTAATTGACATTGATACAACTGGTTCTGGGATGAACATTGATTCCTATAGTAAAGAAAAAATCAAATATTCCAAAGAAATGATAGAATGATTTGGAACTCAAATGGATACTTCTTATGTTGTGTTCGCTAAGCTACATAGTTTTGCTTGTAGAACTTTTATTGTCATTCTGGGAAGCATTATCAGTCTATACTTCATGCAGAAGTGAGCTTTTCAATTATTCTACTGTAGTGAAGGGGAACACAGGTGAGGACAACCGAATTGTATTTAGCATAAAATTACAGAGTTACTTGGTAAAATAGAAAAACCATATAGTAAATCATTAATTTGCCGTTGCAAACATTAATCCATTGTCTCACATTTCATTGTTCATGCGATTCTTACAAATTCCACTGTGTTTTCGCTCTTTCTTTCTTGATTTTCCCCATCTTCTGCTGCCAGACATTACGTTCCTTAACTTGCGTTATATACTACTTACATCAATATAAGTAGCACGCACCACACTACGAGTGTTACATCAACTAGCTTTGATAGCCTTGTTTATGATTGGTTGTCTAAATAAGTTCTACTATCATCATATCTTAGTGTTCCAGTTGAATGTTTTATTCAGTCAACCTCTGAACATTTGATTGGTTAGTCTCTTCCATATGGGTTGACAGATCGGATCTATATCGAGATGCATATAAATTGCCGAATGATTTGGATGACGGACTTCTAAAAATTATGTCACGTTCTTAGAACTCCCATGCTTCATAATTTCAAAATTCACCTAATCCAATTTAAATATTCGGTTGTCTGTGTGTACTGATATTGCTAATAATGCATACCGTTTCGCCTTACTGCTAATCTATGTTCATGTATGGATAGATGAAGAAGGTGTCCACTTTATTCAATGTAAATAGACACAGATGGAAGCTCTGCAATTAGACAATTCGGTGCATAGAATACAATATCAATATATTCAGAAGGAATAAAGAAGCCATAATAGTGTACTTTCGCACAGTGATATGAGGTGTAGAACGATTTAGAAAATAAGGACTAGTAGCACTGTCTTGTGCTACTTTTGGATCTTTTGACAGTATGCATCTATAGATCCATAAGCTATATCTAGTTGTCCACATTTTCTGAATCCAAGTCTGCCCGTAATATAACGTGATTGAAAACCGACATCATTGATGAGCCATCACTACACACCATTCTCTATTTAGCTGACTAATAAGTGACTTTGAGATGATTTACTTGGAAGTGATGACAGAAAATTTGCCAGTTACATTGGTTAAGGAGTGAACTAGATCACAAATTGGTCGGAGCTGAAAACATGGGTCGGTGCATTCTGATTCACATGTTGAATTAAATCGTGTTCACTATGAGAATTTAGTCTTGGGCTCGATTCCGTGTGATGAAAATCAACTTCACCATTAGCAACTTAAATTTGACGGATTTTTCATTTCGGCGATAAAATCATGCAGTGAGCTAACAATAATGTCTTGTTAAAAGTGAATGTGAAGAGACGCTACTTCAAAGTTGTTCACACAGTGGAAGAATGTTTCTTGAGGGACCCTATAAGGGGAATTGGATTACTGGTGGTTTTTATCAAACTAGGAATGTAACTTTGAGACCAAAGGGATAAATGCTTAAGCCTCGTCACACACACACACTGCCTTTCTGCAAGTAGTTATTAAAGTGTTAAGTTCTTATTTCGAAGGCCTATCATAAGTACATTGTTATCTATTGAAACCTCGTAGTAAAATAAACTTGATTTATAAAATACTTTGCTTATATTCGTGCATCATTTTCACTGGCACTTAAAAAAACAATATTAGGTTGTTTTAATCTCAACTATCATAACAACTATAAATCGATAATTCGAAGACGCATATCGGTTACATTATTAGGAAAGTAGTCAATATTCAATATTTAAAATAACTTGATCCAGATCACAATTTAATTTAGAAATATAACCAGAGAAGATAGGTTTTCTTATCTCGATTCTAATAAGAAACTTAGTAATAAAACATACCTATTTAAATGTCATTAAAAAGGTAGTTTAGTGGTTAAATAACTCGCTTTTCAACTACTAACAACTCCATTTGTTCGAGTCCCATTTAATATTAATACTGGCCTATATATAGTGAATGCCTTATGGAAGAATGCATAAACATGTCATTAATAAGTTAAGTTTGCATACGTGATTACAAAATAGCGTCATGTTAGACAAGTTAATGTTCCACTAGCAAATAAACACCGTCATCAGGTTATAAACTTACTCAGACTTTGTTAAGTAGAAAAACTCACCATAGCTAATGGTTCTTTCATATTTACATCAACCATTGTATCACCAGATGCACAATCAACACCGAAAAATGCAGCAATATCTCCTGCATAAACAGCTTCTAAATCTTCTAATTCTGTAACATTTAATCGACCAAGTCGAGACACTCGAATACGACGACCTGTACGAGAATTTCTCACTGAATCACCACGACGTAAACAACCTTGATAGATACGCATATAAGTTAACTGACCAAATTTACTAGCCTAAATTTTTTTTTAAAAATTAAGATGATCCGATCAACAACAACAAAAAATGAGCCGAATTCAATAAGCAATCTTACTAAACTATTTTTAAGTGATAAACTCATATTTAGTTTGATCGACACTGTATGTAACTTCAGTGCTTATATGATAGGAGATCAAGTTGATATCAGCCTATATAGTAACAATTTTTTTCAAATCAATATCTTAACTCATTAACGCATTTACAAAAATCAAATTAATTCTGATATATTCATTTCCAGTTAATATACTTTGTGTGAATTACAATTTGACAAGAAAGTATCAATAAGATAGATGAATTGGATAACAGCTATCGATGTAACTATGCTATTAAGACCGAGTCAATTAGAATTCAACAAATAGGAATTTCGGTTTGTTGTGCAAAATTCAAAAGTCAATCAGTCAGTGACAACATAGAACTTCGTACGTATATACATCACTTCCAGTTACCATACCACGTTAGCACGAAATACAATTGTCGTTTCAGATCGCATAGTTGTAGAGGTAGTAAAAGTATAAGTAGTAATTGCAAGATTAGGGTTTGAAGATGTTATTCAAGGAGTATAATTCAATGAAATAAATTTGGAAAGAGAAAAAGAAAGGGACATAAAGAATTCAGAAGATTAGGATTTGGGAGAACATAAAGAGTGGAGTCACCTGCGCTATTACAAATGATTGTGAGCCATGTCATTCAAGGTCTCTAACCATCGGTTTCTATCGTCTCGCGGATCCCAACCAGGTAATCTACACTTAAAACATGGCTCACTTCACTTATCAGTGACTTCATGGATTTGTGTCATGTTTTGATCTGACCACCCCCCATAGTATACAGCTTACTTTATACGATGAGAATTTTACAAAACATTTTGAAACTGCTCAGGAAGTTTATAACTAGTAAAGAAAGTTTACAGATTCCTTTCTTACTGGTTGAAAAGTGATTTCAAAATCATAAGGTCAATTAAACACCGTTACTGTCTCAGGCCTATAGTACAGCTACACTATTTGGCCTGTGTACAGACGGAAACAGATGAGACTAATCGATTAGGAGAAAGGTAAGTTTTATCAAACAATCAATCAGATTAAATTAATTCGGAACAATGTGAAATTTATGAGTGGAAAGTAGTATAAGATGAGCCAATGATAATCGAATAAACGCCTTTGAGTTTATGTGTGAAATTTACATACATGAATAGTACAAATACTACTTTGTTAAGTGCTTAGAACGTTAGAGATTTTAAACAAAAATATTTGTTATCATGAAGTTGATAGCTTGAATGCTAATACGAGTTCACCGTACTCGGTAAACGGAACGAAGGTGAATAACACAGTGACACGATAGGCTATTCCAATCCGTTGTCCTCGGCCCTGCTAATTAGATCGAGAATTCTTGATGAGGCGTAGAGAATGTATTCTACAAGCACCCAGAAAATGCGAGGTCACTAAGTACACAAAGCAAGCTTATTTGTGCAATGATAGAAACATCCTTGGGAGAGCCACAAAATAGTGTACTAAGAAAGTCCGTCAACCAATGACAGTCAAGGATTTCCGAGGGGGAAATGTAACCTGTAGGTCAACTAAGCGTCTCTTGGAGTGAAAACACAAAGTTCAAATTTTCGGAATAAAATTACAAAATGTTGGACCTTTTCCAAATGAGTTCTGGGGACCTAACGTCCTCAATAGAAGTAAAAACGATAGTGTTAACATATCAAAGGTGAAATTCCCTGTGTATCGGTTGTACTACAAGCAAATTAATCCCAAACCTTCAAACTTAATTCTGTAACTGTAAACTCGAACCGGGAATAATGTTCAGACCATTAAAAAATATCTCTTGCTACCTTATAAGGTCCGAGAAGACGAATATTTTGTAGCTACATACACAAATTCATGTGTCGTTGTTTTTCTAATTACGGGCAAAGAAAAAACTTGTCAACGACCCCGATAGATACATTAATTACGAAAAATTTTCATAATATTATGGTTCTTCTCCATATGCCACTGACTGATAATAACTGCTTTCCCCAAGTGTTGACAACGGGATAGAATTTGCCGTAGTTATTTTAGGAATATTCAAGTTTGTCTCACTTTATAATCCCCAATTAAATTGAAACCGCACTAACAACAATAAAAGCATGTCATTATAACGAATATTGCCGAAAATTTAATCATGTTAGGATTATACTAGCATAACCGTTTGTAGTTAACAACTAAAACTATTGGAAAAGTCACTAATGTAATTTGTAAGACAACTGGGAATCAGTAATAACTCTGAAAATATGTAACGAAACACGTTAAAAGTAATGAACATGAGAATATTACTAACTTCCAGTTTGAAAGCCAGTCCCAGGAATGGATTATCACTGCTTCGTTCAGGTTTCAGTGGGACCTTTCTAGTTTCACTGAAACATAAAAGCACATATAGAAAGTGTTAAATAAATCTAAAACAGGTAATAATATTAGTATGTACACCAGTGGATTCCGCTCAGTGATATAGAGGTCAAGTGTTCACGAGTGGGACCGAAGGTCCTTGGTTCGATTCCAGATGACAGAATCGTTGATAAAACTTTCACATTACAGAAACGAAATAGCTATTTAGTGCTCCAAGGATTTTAATAGTTGTCTAACTCAGATCAGTTCATAACTTCAATAATAGAATTGATATTAGTTGGTTAAACTTTAAAGCAGTCAGTCAGTTAGTCAGCTACACGTAGGACCAGGCACATATGTACATCGGTCCAGGTGCCATACTTAGCACAGCAAGATGAACACCGGATTCATGGGATGGTTAGGTCAAAGGTGGTAATATATAGGAGAAAGATTGCATATGGATACAGTACAGGAAGAAAGAACTAGTTTGTAGAAAGAAAGTTATGAAGTGATTTTAATCTCTTAGTTTAAGGGAAGACAGGGAGTGTATACACCTACCATGTGATCGATTTGAGTCATGTCACCAAGAGTCTCCAACCATCGGTTACGAAAGTACGCGGACCCCAACCAAGTAGTCTGCATCTACACAACATGGCTCAGACTAGAGGTTAGTGTCTTCAAGCACTGATGCCACGTTTTGGTTTGGCCGCCGTAATTCTTCCAACCATCTCTAACACCCGTTAGCTATTAATTAAAAAGAAACATTTAGAAAAAGAGTCTCTAATTTCAAACTATTAGATTGTGTGACCAAACTTCAATAAAGCTTGACTAATCAGTGTAAATCATCCTCAAACAAAAATCATTTAAACACTAGGAGATGAAATACAATCCTGATAAATAAATGCATTAGGTATACGAAAAGAAGATTGACACAGTTGTTGAGTGCAAATATTTTTATATTATCTTGAGAAATAGAGCAACGGGTAAACGTATGCTACATTGATCAACCGCAAAGACTTCTGAATAACTTTTAACCAACAGAATGAGATTGATAAAAACAAACAATTTACCACACAAAAACCGAAAAGGTCGTAGCTTTATTAAGAATTTAGGGTTAGGCTAGAAATTGGAATCGGATGGAATACAGCGTTAGCGGTTAGGGGTAATAATTAAGAATCAAACAGAGAAATACTTTGTAGTCCAGTACGA